TTTAACCCAATGTTAAAGATCAACCAGTCAACTAGGCACCTCATTGGTTCACATTTCATTCTACAGCTGTATTTAAGAGTTGGTCTTCGTCGGCCTGTTTGTTGCTATGAGCCCAGAAGACACTTTGTGGCTAACAGAGTGAGTGAGTAAGTATGTACGATGCTCTTCTGTGAGTTGACTGAATAATTAAAGCACTTTCTCTCAGCCTGAAGACTAATTTTAGATTCAAACAGAGTCCTGGACGTTCATGAACCTACAGCCGTTCACACACTGGCTTCTACAGCGCACACAACAAATGGTTGGCACTCTCTAAATTTTAACTCTCTTTTACAAACAAATCAATGTTCAGTTCAGTCAACCTGTGTGTATAGAAGCAGCAGGGAACGACAACAACGGCTTCAGGGTTTTTACCCGGCTGTTGAGGGCAACGGGGGAGGTAATAATAAAAACTGTAATGTCACGGCTGCCTAAACACGGTCAGGCTTTTAGAGGCTAAATCCCTCAGGTTCAGTCCGAGGGAGCAAGGTGTGCATTAAACAGGAAGATTAGACTCTACAGTGAAACTTTAAAAAAACAGAAGACAAAGAAAAATGATGTTGCTGTAATACAGCTTCAGGATTGGTCAAGCTCTGAATCATTAATGACTTTTTTCGCCCATTCTCCCAATTTCTGGAAAACTGGTAAAAATATTACACACACTCCAGCCCTGTAGGGGGCAGTAATGCACCTAACATTTGTTTACCATACACAAAGAAGATGGTGGAAGTTGTGACGTAAACGCGCACACCGAAAATCCTTGAACTTATCTTTCAGATACCTGAACTACAAAGGTCTAGGGAACATCTACTCCTCTGAAGTTCAGGTTTTGCTTAGTCATGCACCACGTGGCAATTACTGACAAACATAAAGTTTATTTTTAGTTAATGTTCCTTTGGCAGACTCAGATATAAAATATGAGCTGAAGTTATGCAGAGGAGTTTGCAGATGTCTGGCAATCCTGCGGCAGATCAAAGGAAAAACGTTCTTAAATTATCCTCTGATATAAACTCTCCGACTTGAAGACTTGCAGGAATAAACGTGTCATTCTGTCAAGGTGGAACGTGACATTCTAGACAAGTGTTTTCAACTCCGACTATGCTCCACATGAGGGTTAGCATACGAGCTCTCCATCTGAGTTCTATTTCCAGATAAAACAAACACCGGAGTTAATTTGCCGTCACGAGTGAATGAAACTCAAAGACCTCTGCAGCTGACTGAAGGATGACTGCCGAGTCATTTGGTTCAGTCTGTGGCACGAACGTTGAGTAAAAGTACAGTCAAGTGAAACTGCATTAAAAACTTCAAATGAAAACACACCCCATAAATCTGCAGAGATAAGAAGTAAAAGATATAAATGAGAGGGAGACTTCACGAAAAATACTTCTCCCGACCGAACCAAAAAGTCCCCAATAAAGGGGTCTGTCCGTGAAAATGACCAACGGGGTCGTCCTGCCCTGATCCTGACCTCTATGTTCTCTAAAGAAAGACCCTGCAGTGGTAAGTCAATGGTAGGAGGGACAGAACTTCTAGGACGCAGTTCTTTCTCAGAACACACTTATCGAACAACGGTGTTTCGAGACAACTAGCCTAAAAGGTCAGATCCAGTCGATCAACCCGACCTTTGACTTTCCGACATTTCATTTGAATAAAACATTCCCAAATGCTGTTGTTCTGGTTCTGGCACAGTTAAAAGAACACTCTCCTCCACTTCATTTCAAGTACGTGTTCTAAGGAGCTGAGCTTCCAGGAGAGTTGGACGTATGTATCTGTAACAGTTGTGACGTTGCAGAAAACCTCGTCCACAACAAATAAATCTTTCCTCGTTGTCGTTGTGCACGTTGAACGGTTCTGTTCTCCAGAGGAGGACAATATCACGTTGCACAGTGTCCCCTCACGAGACAACAGGTGGAGCATGTGTTGACAGCAGGACAGAGGTCTGAGAAGAAGTCGAGAGTTTGACTTCCTCATTAATGCTGCAGCGCTGAATTAGCATCTTATGGCAGCCACATTATCATAAGCAGCTCAAAGTCCAACAAAAGACCTTTGTGGTAAAAAAAATGTTCTATTTTACACGTCAAGTACATCATCACATTCATTATATCTGGCAAAAAAAAAAATCTAATTTGTAATGTGTTGAGCCAAGGTAATGTCTTTTAACTGATTGACAATTAAGCAATTATTTTGGTAATGTCTTTTAACCAATTGACAATGCAATTGTTATGCAATTATTTTCAAAATATATACATGTTTCACAAATATATATTTATATATGTATATATATATTTTGATATATATACATATGTTTAGTATTATTAAGACTTAGAGACACAAAAAAACAGATACGACGAGTGTCAACACTTACCTCGTCCCACTCTGAAGTAAACGAAGGCGATTTCTCGAGCCTTTTTTTCCCAGTGCTACAGTTGGATACAGACTCGCTTCGATTCCCTAGTCCTGCTTCATCCTCACTGGGAGGTGACACCAGCAGGTCTGAGTCGGACTTGGAGAGGCTGCGTGCCAGTTTTAGGTCCCCAGGAGGGCGCGTCCGAACGGCTGACCCTATTCCCGCACCTGAGTCCTTGTGCTCTTTGTTCACAGTGGCATAAATGGCTTTTGGGTCGCAGTCCGTCAGAATGGCGGCCATACTTGGGCGACTCGGTTGTGGCGTTGAAGCCGCGGCTACTGGCTCTTTCCCCTTGGTGGGTTTCCTCGTTTCTTGTGGGCTCTGGGTTGGTGGATGAACACCTGGAAGCCTGAAGGGCTCCTCGTGGCCGTCGATGACAGGAGAAGATCCGTGAAGGAGGCCAGTGAACTGCTCCGGGACACCTGCTCCCTGATCCTGGTTGGTCACACAGTTATCTGGAACAAGAGAAAGGGAATGACCAAAGTCAGTAGAAGGAAAGACAGTAGTTCCAGGCAGGAGAATGGTCTTCAAACTGAGGGGTAGATCCTCAGAGCACAGCTAATAAGAAGCCGCCCACACGAGCCCCCGAAACAGATCTGTAATTGTTTCCTACCAGGACTGACGGAGGGAAAAAAAGAGAGAAGAGATGGAGCAAGGAGAAGGCGTATGCTGGCTGGATTAATAACAGAATTCCTAACTCAGCTTGCAGCCGCCTGACGGCGATCAGCTGGTGCCTGTCTGCCTGTGTTTTGTAACAGGGAGTTACGACTGGTCATCGTTGTGACTTAACTCTCTTCGTAGACGCGCTGATCCCTGAGGTTTGTCAACACAAAATGACACAACACCCTCAGCCCTCCCAGGAGACACGGGGGGGAAAAAACAACTCACATACAGTCATTAGAACACACAAAGTACGATGAACACGGCACGAGTGTCGCACAAACTTGTACTGTACTTACAGCGAGTGGCTTCTTCCACCAAAACAACTCCTTAATGAGAAACAAAACAAGTTCAATTAAAAACTGTTATATTTCCCCTCCTCCGCCTCCGGGAGGAATTACTGCCACCTAAGCTTCTTTCCCCACAATCAAATCAACCGCGGCTCGACAGTGAACAAACAGCTGCCTGTGCTGAGCCCCGCAGTGAAGCGACGCTGCCTGTTGTCTGCTCCGTGACCACCAGGCTTCTGTGTTTTCTGGCTTCTAATTCCAGAGTCTAATGGTGGTTCAGGAATGGAAATTTGAATCACCCCGTCCTCCTGCAGTCAGACTACCGATAATTAGCCCGTGTGACACATGGAGCGGGAGTGTGCGTGTGTGCATGTTCCCGTGTAGCTATACTTGTGGGGACGTGCCATCATTTTTTGGGGGGGACGCTTTGACTTCTGGGGACATTTTTGCAGGTCCTTAATGAGTGAGAGGGATTTTGAGTTCCAATTTTTTTCCCCCCGATTTATGATTAGAATTAACGTCAAATTAGAGCTGGGATAAGGATAAGGATGTGATGCCAGGCACTACAGTATACATTATGTCTATGTAAAGTGCTCACAGGACACAAAAACGTGTGTGTGTGTGTGTCTACAGTATTTGTGTGGACATGTCTCCAGCAGGGTGACGGGGTCAGGGTGTTTGGTGACAGAGAATCTGGGGCAGTCACATCACAGGGAGTGCAGTGACCACTTGCAGCACTTTGTGTGTCCTTCACAGGAACACTTCTACATAAACACATCGTTGTTGTTGTTGTTGTTTCACCGGCGGCATCTCTTCACCCGCTGACACCATCAGTAATCTGGCCGTAAATGGACGAGGTGTTCAGGGCTGGAGGCGCTCATCTGACTGACGCGTACAGAAAACTCTCTCTTCACCAAAAGGCCATTCGCACAAGACTTAAACACGGAGGACGAGTGTGTGGGTGTTGGTAATAAGGGGTGAGTGAGTGTACTGTGCACATATGTCAGGAACACGGCCAAACACCCACCCTCACTTTGGCAGCTAGGGAGCGTGAACGCCCAATGAGCACATCTCTGTGGCTCCAACAATCTCACACTGTGTGTGTGTGTTAACCCTTTACCCAGATGCACTGCAACACTCACTGCTAAGACTCCACTGTTGTGGGAAACATAAAAACACAACATGACATAATGACTGAGGTCACCGCAGGCTCAAGTTGAGAATTTATTTTGCAATAAAAGAAAAAGAAAACAAAAAAAAAGAGTCATATCCAACTGATGAAGTCATGTTTGTTTCACAGCTGCTGCGGTGACGCTGCCGTCTGTCACCCCAACACCTCAACTCCAAGTCAAATAGATTTGGTTTTATTTGAAATACCACTATCTCTTGTGTGACTTTTGGGCGGACAATCCTTTCAAATATTTAATCCCTATAATTTCATGTTTTTAAACGCTCCTAGAGAAGGATTTTCTTTATGGTTTTAATCCTCAAAAACGGAGGAGCTTTGAGTGAGTTGTTCTGTGAATAGTAATAGCAGTGCCATCCCAAAGGGTGGTGTTGGGGGTGAGGGGTGGAGGGTATGGGGGGGGGTTGAAGCTAATGTTTTGACTTGTGCTAAGAATAATGTTGGCGAGCAGGTGCTCCTCTCCTCTCCTCTCCTCATCGCCTCCTCGTCCAGCTGTTTCAATTCCGCCATTGCGATGCAGTTTGAAACGAGCAATGCAAACAAGAGCACATTTTTTTAAGGCAACCAACCCACCGGGGGAGGCAACGGGGGGATTCTGTGGCATGACAGAGAACTAAAGCTGCAAGACACCTCCAGAGCTGTACGCTGACAAGATTGAATGACACCGAAATTTACTCCTGACTCAAAGAGAGAATAATACAAAAACATAAGGAGGAATAGATTTCACTGTGTCCAGATTTCCCTTTTTACGATCGTCAGCAGAGAACTGGAGAAGAAGATACTGGCCGTAAAGAACATCACCTGGAAAAATGCATAAAACACTAAAGAGAGGCGAGAAGTCTTTAGGGGAAACAACACAGCTCTGCTGACATCAGGGGTTCGTAACACATGATAAAATGTGCTGATATCCCTGACCGCGCACATAACCTCCAACTGCCATAAGAGTGCACTGAGGTCCAGTCCCTGAAGGCAACGCTATGCACGCCTCAGAGCAACTAGGGAACAGGTGTGTGAGACACAAACGCGGCCCAAACTGTGGCAGTGTTGTTGGAGTTTAAGAGAGAAAACTATGCTAGCTAACGTAGCTGCAGAACAACACGAGTGGCTCGAGTGGAGTTGGAATCTCGCAGATCATTAAAGAGTCGTTCAGAGAGTTACTGAGATACGACATTTACAAACAGAACATCACTGTTCAGTTCACACACTGAAATGTTGGCTGTTGTAGATGCTGCTATTACCTGACGACACCACGAAAATCCAAGGTAAAGATACTTTATATCTAGAAAAAAATTACACTTTACACTTATATAAATAAATAAATATATATTTATAATTAAATAATATAATTACATTAGTCAGTTAATTTATAAAAATGATACTTTTTAGGTGGAAAAGTTTCACTAAAGTATGTTCTGACACGTCTCCAGATTTCATGATGTCTTTGTCAAGTGTTTAGCTGTCTTACAATGTATTTGTCTTTTTCTTGTCTTGAAGTTGTTAAACCTCAAAATTGAACAATTTTAAAGAGGGGAATCATCAAGTATAGAGAAAAAAGTAACTGGATGTCAGTTTTAGACCAAAAACAGACCAAAAACAAGCAAACTATTACGCGGACGACATCCCCCTGAATCCAACCATTCTACAGCAGATACAGAATATGTCAGGCTCACATTCCGATAAACAGTTCCAGTTTATATCGACTGTGAAATGAGCCTCGCTCACTCGCCAGCTCCCGTCATTCAGCCTTTTCTCCCAGAGCCAAATTCCTCTCAGTTGCCAGCGAATGCCAACCATGCATTCCCTGGCACCGCTAATTCACTGCAGCTATTTCACTGTCATGCAGTGACTTTTCAGGTCTAGCATGTTCGCTCCATTGACCTCCGCCCTCGACCCCGCCTTTCTGTGAGCTCATACTCACCTCCTGTCGGCCGTGCTCCCGCTCCTCCGGGAGGCTGCAGCGTCTCCTTTTTCTTACTTGGAGTCGTGAGGTCACGTGGGGAGGGGGGTTTACGCTGTCATGGGACACAAATAAGAAAAAAAGAGATCAGTCAGACAGCTTGATATTCAAAAAACATTAAGACCGTCACATCAGCCAATTAATAATCCACTAAAAACGTAGCTGTTCCAACATCGGACCAAGATGCTTTGCTATTGATTTTCTGCACTACAGCGATGTTGGCAGTTCTGCCTCCACTGGCCATTATGTGGCTCGGCTCTGACAGCCAGAGCAAAGACAACAGAAGGCTGCTCATTCATTCATTATGATTAAGTATCTGAAGAGCAAAGCTAATCCCATCACAGTCAGGCCTTGGGCTGATACTGTGGTGGGCAGCAGGTGGGTGGCGGTAATAAAATCCACCGAGTGTGTGATGAAAATGAAAAGGCAATAAAATAAGATAGGAGAGGCCATTAAACAGGAGACGTGCAGTTATGGGGGCTTGTTTTAGGGCAGACGGTGCCTGACAAATGGCTGCGTCCCTGACTGTGAAGAGCCAATCGTCTTCACTCCACAGCCCCGCTCTGACCATGTGGTCGTGTTTGTACACAGAATGTGGAATTTTTAAGATGTGATTTTTCTGCTCTGCGCCTGAAAAAACAAAAAGCTCGTTCTGCGGAGTTTGGTGGTGGAGTGAACTTCAAAGGGCGGACGAAGACGGAGGAAACAGAAACTTCAAAGCAGTGAAGACACAGATGTGTACGTTAGAATGAGAATGTTTAAACAGCTAACACTGTTTCAGTGTCTGAATCAAAGCAGTGTACGGCCTGTGGCAGTAACATTATTATTAACTTTTTTTTATTGTTTTTTGCTGCCTGACATGACATGAAGAGACGTTGTCAACAACTCAAATTCTTTGTGCACACTGTCTCTTATTTAAGCATAAATATACAACAAAATATATGTATATACTTATATAAAAAATGTTGACAATAATAGATAATATTGTGCCAAACTAAAATAATTATGAAACATTGAGATTTTACTGAAATGTAAACAAATGTACCACGAACTAGTTTTTTAAAAAAAAGAGATATATACAAATATAGTTGGGTCACTTGATCCACAAGGGTTAAATTTAGATCCAGTAGAGAAGGAACATCACTTACTTCTATGGATCAAGTCAGTGATTTTTTTTTGGTGTAAGGCATTAAATCAATCCAAAAATATGGTTCATACCTGAGGTAGGACACTGTTGGAAGACTGGAAAGTGGTTTTCTCATCTACGATAAACAGAGCACATGACAGTCAGGACAGAGCATAGAATTTAATGATTTAATTAATAATAAATAAATAATTAAATAATAATAATTTCAAAATAAACACTTCAATCAATCAATCATATATTAATATCTATATTTACCTTTGAAACATTTTTATAATATTATATTTATTATATTATAAAGACATAATGGACCAATACTAGTTACTCTTTACAGTCACAGTACTAATACTTGCCTTTATTGGACTGGAAGTCCTGTTTGAGTGAAGGGACTTTGGTCTGTGCCGTCAGCAGCAGCTCGTACGTGTGGTCTTCCTCCTCCTCCTCCTCCACTGGTTCAACTCTTTCATCAATACTGCTGTTGGTGAACAGGGCCTGAAGAAAGATGTTTAAGCAGAACAGATGAGAGGGGAGGGGGGCGGGAGGGTGTGAGGATTGAGGAAAGTGAAAAGGATTTGTATCTGACTCAAATTGGAGTTCTGAAAAACTGAATAATAAACTGTATAAATGATCACTGTTCAGATCGGTTATATTCAATTCCACATAGTCCTCAATTCAAGACTGGGTTGTGTCACTAGAGGAACTAAAGCTGTGGCGCCCCCTCATGACGGGAAGTTTATTGACAGGATATTCTCAACAGATTACTACAGTTTTGTGCTTTTCTACTTAAAAAAATATGAGAATACTTGCATAATACTAGAGTATGCAGTAACTGTAAAGGTTCAGATCGGTTATAAAATTATTTTCATTTCATTGTTGGTAAAACCTGGATCTCGAGTAGCAACATGGTAGAGTTCCTATCTGACACACAGAAGGTTCTGGGGTTCAATTCCACATAGTCCTCAATCCAAGACTGGGTTGCGTCACTAGAGGAACTAAAGCTGTGGCGCCACAATATCCTAAATATAATAATCCCAGACTCCTCACCTCTGAGCTGGACAATATCCTTAATCCCAGACTCCTCACCTCTGAGCTGACCTCTTCTTCATGACCAGCACCAGGATAAGACGGGTGGATGTAACGATCTCTCTATAAAGAACATAAATAATATGCCATAAGTGGTAATAAATGTGAGGTCAGTGGGAAAAAAAATGCAACGCAAACTTCACTGTGTACCACAGAAGCTCAATGCTGAAAGAATCTCTATCTCCCTCTACTGGCCGTTTTGCATTTTTACTCCTCATAAAACCCTGCAGTTCTTTGTTTCTTCGTTCTGTGCAGTGTGACTGTGAGCTCCATTAAAACTCCCACTGACCTTGCCAGCTTCACTGTCCGGCCGTCCAGAGTCTCGGTCGGAGGACCTGCAGCTCGTGAGGCTGTCCAGGGAATGACAGGATGTGGCTTCAAACAGAGCCTCGTAAGGACTCTCCTCCTCGGGCCCCGGGGCCAGCCCCGAGATCAACTCACTCACTTTCTCCATATCACCTTTAACACAAAAACAAACAGAAATACATACATGGTTTAACAGTCTGCTGTTGATACCTCAGAGCACTGAATGATGGCGCTAACACCACCCTGACTTACCTTTCTTCCTTGGACTGGGACTCTCCTGAGGTGGGGGGACTGGTGGAGGAGGGAGGTCGATGTCAGGAGGTTTTCCAGTCATGTGACCTACAATGTCAAAACAGGAAATTGTATCATGATCACCAAAAAACAAAAACATTTACACTCCAGCTTGTTATCGCTACATTGATCACCTAGGATGAGAGCGGCTATTTCTCGGCTCTTCTGGGAAGGCATGTCCTTGACGGTGTCCAGCGCCGCCAAGCCCTTCTTGTCAAGGATGTTCACGTCGATACCTAGCGAGGAGCAACAGGCATGTGTTCTGATTGGTCAACCTATAAAAATCCTCTGTAGAGGAACTAATTCTAATGTTAGTGTCTGACCTGCACTGAGAAGTTTCTGCACCACGTCCGTCTTGCCGTACAGAGCCGCCTCGTGGAGGGCGCTGCCCTTCTCCGTCTGAGCAAAATGAGGAAACAGAAACAAAAAACATCCAGTGTTAGAAATGGATGGAGAAAAAAACAGAAATGAACAAAAATAAGTTTGTGGTTAGTGCTAATTCAAAGGAGTCAGACTTTGCTTAACCAGTATTAGTCTTAGTTTCCCCAGTCAACTCTGTAACATGCCTTTCAGCTTGTTAGCCATTTTATGATAGCAGCTAAAAAAGAAAAATAGCAAAGAAAAAATATATATAACAGCTGAAATACACATACTAAATGAAGACAGGCAACTAGATGAACTACATGTTTGAATGTGCCCTTGTTAGCCAGGATAGCATATGCTACTTCTACAGTTTCTTGAAAAAGACAGGAGGAAGTTAGCAAGCGGCTAATGCTAATTTCTGCACTGCCACAAAATGTGGCTACACTACTAAATATACAACCTCGCCTGACAATTATTTAGTCTCTGTAGCTAGTTGCAGTACTAAAATAGATTTATATGCTGTTTTTTTTTCCCCCTAGTCAGAGAAATAATAAAAAACATAACGAAAATGAGTACATTCTTAGTAGCAATAGGTGGCTAATATGTTTACACAGAGCCCAATTCAAATTACAGGACATAATAATCCTTTTTTTTTCATGGCACACCTTAGCTTCAGAACATTTAGACGCCCCACCTAGCCTCTCTCCCTGAGTAAACTCTTGTCGTCTAGGGATCCAAAAAAAAGTCATTTTCCAGTTCAAGGGGCCAAACTAATTTAAAACTGCAGGACATGAAGGACAGAGACTCCATCCTTGGTTAAAGGAAATTAGGACAACGTGAAGAGAAGAGAGAATCTCCAGTCAGATGGAAGACACAGTTTGATGAAGTGTTAAAACCACAGGGCAGCGAGAGGCAAAACTAACCCTCACTGCCCCCGGGGGGGGGCAGACACCGCGGCACCTCCTGAGTGTTTTATTTAACTTCACCGCTTAAGTGGGAAGTAGTCAGAGAAACGGCATCGAGGCTATATCAGGTTGACTGATGACTTCCGCTATTACAGAACATTAAGAAACACTTTCAGTCTGGTCTACAGACACACACACACACACACACACCTCGTAGTTGATGTCCATGCCAGCGTCCAGCAGCACCTCCACCACGGACAGGTGTCCGTTCCTAGAGGCCAGATGCAGAGGCGTGTGTGTCTTGGTGTTACAGCTTAGCAGGTTGGGGTGAGCGCTGAGGAGCAGCTTCACCACCTCCAGACGGCCGTAGAGCGCCGCTAAGTCCAGCGGGGTCTCGAACTTGTTGTTCCTCATGGTGGGGTCTGTCAGCTCCTCCAGCAGGAGCTGCACCACCTCGATGTGGCCATACTGGGCAGCACAGTGGAGCGGGGTCTCGTTGTCATTGTTCTGCGTGGGGGCAAGAACACAAAGTGAGAGGAAAAAACATGTAAACGGAGACGATTCAGACTAAGGAGAAGAGACGAGAACGGCAGAGATCTCAGGGTAGAACCAGACCAGAGTTCTGACTGGACTCATTGAGCACATGCATGAACTAATGAGGACAGGTGATGGATGTGGCAGAAAAAACAGTTCAACACCAACACCAAGGCAGAAGAAAGTGGGCGGAGTCGCCAAGAGTCGAGAGGGGAAGCAGCAGATCTGAGGTATTAAGATATAAAATAACGACAAGAGAGACTCCTGGTACATTAGTGTAAGAGTCAGTCCAAACCATGAGTTTGTTAATGACAAACCACCAGCACAAAACACCAACCATGACACCAACCATGACACCAACAGAGGCGGAGAACTTCATCAAAGTCAACCTTTAAACTGCAATTTCAGCCAATAATCGAAGTCAGGTTCTTTTCTGTTCCAGTTCCCGTGAGAGCTACAGCAATAATCCCACCACTAAAACTCTCATTGGTTGAGATGTTTGATGTCCACAGTCTCAGGCCACTACTTTTCGACACCCCATCCCTCCTGTGACCCACAGTTTGTCAGAGCCAGTGATTGATTTTAATAATAATGACAATAATACAATATATTGTGTTAATGTGTGATAAAAGCCTGTGCCTGTGATTGGAGGATTGTCCGTTTGACATCTGGTTCAGGCAACACCGTGGTATGTTGAGCACCAGAAACACTTTCCCAGGGTGCACTAAAACATGCAGCCCACTTCGCTGTGTGTCAGGTAGTAATAAATGAGGTGTTTCCAAGATGGGTTAAAGGCACAGAAGTTATTTCCTTTGGGGGATAAGTAGAATATTAAAAAAGAAAATCACATTAATAAATTACACTACATTTTGGTCAATATTTTTTTGCATCCTATTTTAAAATACAACAACACTTAAGTCTTTAACTCAGTGGTATCAGTCACAACTAGTAGATTTATCATTTATATAATAATATATATATATATATATATCATAAAGACAAAGTAGTGACTGAATCAACCGAGAAACAGGAAATCATCGGCTGTGTGTGATAACACTTCAACTCAGGACAAGGGTGGTAGTGATGTCATCCTTTCATACTACCATGTAGGGCAAACACATGTAACACTCAGGCAAGTGCAGCCAATGGAAGTGCAGTAATTAAAAACCTAAACTCACTAAGTGCTAACTATTAGATTTAACGACTCACACGGAGTAATGGGATCAATCAATGTCTTAACAGACCTGACTGTGGAGGGGCTGTGCTTTAAACAGCCAGCAGGGGGCAGACCCAGCTAGTCAGGAGCTGCACTGAGATGATGGCATGGCTATAGTCTCAGAAATCATGAAAGTAACAAAGAAGATAAAGACTGAGAAAATCCTGAAACACTGTTCAGTCGTTCACACACACCGTAATCACAGTGAAAAACCGCCGCCGCCATCCAGGTGCGATGGCGGAACATTTCTGTGAGTGTGTGTGTGTGTGTGTGTTCCGGCGGCTCCATCTGTCTGAGCCGTGTGTGTAGGTGGGCGTGGCAGAAAAATGTCGTCCATTGTGGAAGCACATGCTCTGAGAGTCAGTCATTCCAGACTTATTGGAACACCTTCAAAGAGCAGACTTCACACCCCCCCCACCCGCCCCCTTCTCTCCCCCAACATCTACATGCACAATGCCAGGCTGGGCAACTCCTACTAAAACACACCAGCTGTGCCACACGGGGCAGCAGACCAACGTGTGAACGGGCCCACGGGGCAGTTTCAGACAGGTGTGAGTTGACCCCTTTCACACGGCCTGCACCGAGCGGGCACCAGATGGAGTCAGAGAGCACATCTCCTCCAGGATGACAAGAAGAAGGAGAGGTTTGTTTTTTTTAAGTGAGAGAGAGAATACTTGAAAAGCAGGTTTCTGCTCCAGCAGAGAGAGAGGAGAGGAGGGAGAGAGGGGGAGAGAGAGGGAGCTTAGGGAAACAAAAAGGACATCTGCCTGTCAAAGGACCAAGTGCATGCTGGGAGAGAAAATGCTAAACAGTGTGCTCTAACGAGCTCCAGTCAATTAGGAGAATCGTTGTTAGTCTCTGACGACTGTATGAGCAGAAATCTGTCGCCCGACTCTAAGAATTATTATTACAGTAGCCATTTATTATTCACGGTTCTGTCACAGACGTACAATCACTGCAATCATTCATTTTTTTTATAATTAATTAGATGAAATGAAGGATTTTTAACACGTTTAACACGCAAGAATTTGGCGATAGGATACGTAAAAATAACAGATGAAAGACACAGCCATGACTGAACAGTCGGTCAGTTACAGCAGGGGTGTCAAACATGCGGTCCGTGGGCCAAATCCGGCCCGCTAGGGTGTGAAATCCGGCCCGCTTGACACATTTTAAAAATTATAAAAAAAACAAACAAACACCATGTTCAGGACATTTTTTTGTAAAATTATATTTCATTAAATAATAATTAAAAAAAATATTGAATCTACTTGTACTTCTTTGCATGAAAACAAAGGGGAAAAACCTGGACTTATTGTTGTTTATAGTTAATTATGTTATGATTGTACTGGTCCAGTAATATGCAGCTGAGTTGAAAGAAGCAGATTCCTGTTTTTGCAATTAATTTTTTTTCCTAATTTGTACAAACGTGAGGCGACACAGAAGAACGTTTCCGTTCGTTCATCTGACACAGCGACGAGCATCTGGTGCTTGACGATGATTTGATTAAAACTTTCTCACTGGGATTTACTGTAATCGTGACGATGACATCAGCAGACACACACACTCATGTCGGCGTTACATCGTCACGACTCACTTCCTCTCACATGCAGATCTGGATTCAATCATCTGAATCAGATTAAATCAATTACTTCTGGCTCGTTCCTTCACCAGAGGTCGACACAGACAGAGCCCACACCGTGATATGGCACCGATTCACGCCGGAAACAATCTGAGGACTGACGTGGAGTTGAACCCAGAACCTTCTGTATGACAGACCTGGATCTGTGTGTGTGTGTGTGTGTGTGTGTGTGTGTGTGTACTAATCCACCGTGGGTTTATTTATACACACAACCCACTGACACGTGGAGCGTGTTGGTCTTGACACGTCCACGCCGAGCGCTCGTCACATCGGCGCTCTGCAGCCGTGTGTCAGAGAACATCAGATCATATCAAACATGTCTGACCAAACACTGGGTGTTGGAAACGAGCGGCTCCGTGGACGGAGGTCGCTCTGAGAGAGAGAGAGAGAGAGAGAGAGCTCTACTGACACGAGGAATGTTGCTGTCGGAGCGGTGGCTCAGTGGAGTGAAGAGTGTTACTGCACACAGCTCATCTTTGAACTCTGACTTTTGACAACACAACAACAGACCACAGTGGGTGTGACGTATGTATTCGTCAAACTACTTCCTGTTGGCCTGAAGTTGGTTTGAATCTGAGATACTGCTCAGTACTACATCCCCAGATTAATACTACAGTACAGGGGTGAGAAAACTTTTAGGCACAGGACAATTTTCCTCATTTAATCGGACATTTAGTCACGTCGAAAAAAGCCCCCAACAAACTACAAATACAGCCGACTTGATTGTCTTTACCTCAGTGCTGCCACCACCCTGTCAATGTGTTACTGACAGGGTGGTACATTATTGTAACTCGTGTTCAACCTGTTAGAAAAACAAAATTTCTAGAACTAATTAAAAAAATGTGTGTTGTCAAAATGTATGGTATCGCAAATTCTCCCATCTCCCTCTAGTGGTATGTGGCGGAATCTGATTTCTGGTTCGCTTGACTGGATCAACAAGTTTTTAAACACTCTTCGCAGCCAAAAAATGACTACTGGTGTTGGTACACTTTGTCCTTTTAAATGTATTTTGAAGGTACCGACTGTGTGTTGTGGTATTTCAAGCTTAAAAATATCATTTGGAGAAGGATTAGAATTAGTGTCGGACTAGGTGTGGGTTAGGATTTAGTTAGAATAACAAGTCTCTGCACAGTGTGGCGCTCCGTCTGCTAAACACGGTAACAATCTCGTTAGGTATTAGTTCTCCTTTTATGAATACTGTGTCAACTACTGTATTTCATTGTTGATCGTACTCAGTACTCAGAGAGACAAATATTTAAAAAAAAAAACGGTCTGATCTACAGGACTGAACACGTGACCGACACAACAACAATCTCACACCTAAATATTTTTTTGCGATTATAGAAACACATTTCCAGACTGTTACATAAGAAGGTCACATTCAGTTCAAATTCCAAGATATAAAATCCAGCATCCGCCTTATCACCACTGCAACACCACAGGCCGCATGAGCAATCACACAAGCATGTGTGCACACACACACACACACACACACAGAGCCTTCACTAGAGGCTTCCTGGACAAATGTTAGCAGTGGCTAAAGGCCTAGCTGTGAAGATTAGCTACTGAACAGCCAGGACTTCCTGTACGACATGAGATTCACGTTTTAAAAAAAAATCCCGTCTTCCTCCTACAACCATCACAGACATCACTGCACTGTTACTGTACCGTTACTGTACTGTTACTGTGACCTCAGTGCACCTTCAACACAGAGATAAGGATCCTCGCTGACGTCGGCTACAAATACAACTCTAATCAACAACATCTGGTGTGAGTTGTTGTTGTTTTTTTTCCCACCACTGAATGTGTCACGGCAGCAGAGTGAAGGCAGGACGTTCTAATGCTCACAAGCTGGGACTTGAAGATGCTAACAGGGTTTGACTAGCGACTTCGGTCATGTGACATGATGGCTGGCAGCTGAGCGAGGCCGTGATTACATCATCCTCATTCTGTGGGGGGGGGGGGGGTTGCTGAGCAGCTGTTCATGCTAGCATGCCACAGGGCTGCCCATCCTCACTGCACATCCACATCCACTGTCACAAACTGAAGTCCCTCCAGTTTGATTCACATCCTGACAAGAGATGTCACGAGAGAGAGAGAGAGAGAGAGAGAGGGGGAGGGAGAGAGAGAGATGGGGGGTTTGGATAAACTCTTTATTTCTGTACTGAGGTTTGATAAACTCTTTATTTCTGTACTAAATACATTTCCCTGTTGGATTTTCGACTGTAAATCTGTTCATTTGTAAAACCACTGTGATCAACGGAGCTCATGTTCATTTTCTGTTTTTTCTGCTATATTGCCGATATTGGCCAAACACTCAATTTCCGATTCCGATATCAATTGATACCAATATACACAGTCGTTAGGGTTAAAGGGAGAGGACACATTTTAGTGTGCAGCAGTTCTTACAATTTGTACCGATGTTACATAATTTAGCTAATATCGGCCGATAATATCGGATTGCCAATATTATCGTACAACCCTTGTTATAACCCTGTGTCTCGTTGAGCCTGCAATGCTAACATTACTCTTCCTAAAATTCGCAAATTTTTTTAAAAAAAATATTTAAAAAGGTCACCTTGTTTTTTTTTTATTTAGACTTTTTTTTATTTAGAATTTTCTTCAAGGTTTGTAAGTCGTTTAATCAACTAATAGCGATCAGTCCATGTTTAAAGGAAAACTCACTTCTAGGTTTTAGACCTAATACCCAGTTTGTCAGTGTGACTTTAATTAAGTATTTTCCTTGAACTCTGTCACACGTACCACAGTTAAAAAAAAGTGGAGTTCTGTAATGAAATGACCGACTGGCTTCCTGCCACAGCTTGTAATTCTCTGTCCAACCGACTTTTACAGGAAAGATACATTTTCTCCTCCACGTGGTCGGTGACGGAGCAGCAACTCAGCTGAACGCAATCCTCGAAGAACAGACAGTACAGCTAATGGATGGACCCACTGATGGTCCATTCAATTCAATGGGAAACCCTTCATAAATACAACTGCACATTTGAAGACGATCTACAAGAAATCTCATCTCTTCTCTGCAGCTCTATTCCCTCCAAACTCAATAAAAAATAAAACACACTTTGCAAAATGTAATGAGACAATGAGAATTCCAGATTATTCCGTTTAAAAATGTTAGAGTCCCTAAAGGTCACCATCAAAACACCACAAATATTAACTGACACAGTATTTGGAGGGAACGCTCCGAGAGCAGAAGGTGGCGCCCTGACAGTGGGATGTGTCGTTTGGGGAAGAGCTGAAGTGACACAGAGAAGGAATAAATAATCATGTTCTCTGACTGTGAGCACTCTGCCCCGAGGAGGGAAGGAAGACTCTGCTCCACTTGATAATAACCTGACCATGTCCAGAGAAATGACATCTGCTGCCGTCGTCAGACACATTTCCTTCCGTCAACAGCCTGAGACACCGAACACCAGGCGTGACACGAAAAAACCAACAACATCCAGTTTGTTTTTTTTTTCTTTCTCTCTTCTTATTATTATTCAGCCCATCCAGGGTAAAGTGCTGGCATGTGTTTTTTTTTTAACTCATACAAAATGCAGAGTGCCTTCACATCAGAATAGGAGGATCTCAACCATACGGTACATGTGCCATGACAGACATCTGACCTATATACAAAGGGGAAGAATGAGCAAAAGGTAGGGCCGTGTGTGTCACTGCAAACATGGGAGACATTTATACCAAAATTAACAACTTTAAACTAATAATTAATTCCCACAATTAATGAGGCAACCTTAAACTAGTAATTAATTCCCACAATTAATGAGGCAACACTTCACAGTCAATCGACTTCACCGCTAATCAAACCAACAACAATGCTAACAGCTAGCACCCAAACCTACGAGACTGTGTGTTAGCAGTGGACGTGCTAAGTTTAAGGGTAATTATAACAGTGTAAGTTGCAAGTTTTTTCCTGATTTGGATTAAAATATTGAACATAAATATTCTAAGATCTTTAATCCAAGATTTAGAGAATCAGGATTTTAAAAACAACATGGCTGACTGATGATATCCAAACAACAACTTTGTTTTCAAAGGGGTAGCAAAGAAAACAAATTCAATTGTAATTGTAAAAATGATCAACTAATTTAGCCGTCGATCGGTCATTAACCGGTCAACTATCAGCGGCAGCCTCAACATGGACGCCTTAATCCAGCCCTCCTTTAAACCCCCGTCATAAACCTTTCATGTCACGCCGCGGCTCACTCTACACAAACACAACATCTTCTCACTGTACCGTGAAAGACCAATAAGCCGTGACACTGTTACTATGACAACGCCCAGCTTCTTCCTCTCATCAGCAGCACACACTGGGAGGCAGAAGGAGAAAGAGGAACGGGGGAGAGGGGGGGGAGGAGGAGGAGGAGGAGGAGGAGGAGGAGGAGGGGTGAACTCTCCCATTTACACACTCACACAGACGAGCGCTGCGTGGAGGTCTCTCTTTGATGCTGATGCACAGAGACCGCCGCTCTGAATAACCTCGCATTCTGCTCCTGAGAGGGAGGCCAGCCGGGACCCCGCCCACTTGGTCACGTGACGCCGTCAAACACGACCACAGCCACAGTCAGACTCAGTCCAAAGTGTCCCATAATTGTGATTTATTCATAGCAGGACATGAATCATTCATGCTCACAGCAGGTTCTGTTCTGACTGTCCTCGTCCAAGAGTTTGGAAGAAAAGAAAATGCAGCCAAGAAAATTGTATTTTTAGTCGTTTTTTTTTTTTAACACGGGATTAACCTTCTTGGTGATTGGACGCCAGGTCAGCCGTGTACTGTGAAGAATCAGTGACGCAGCAGTAATGTTTGAACGGCAGAAAAAAAAAAAACGCAAATATAAATAAAAAGCTTTTAAATGGCGACGTCAGCTTCAAACTCTGCCAGAGTGAACTGTGAAGACTTCACTGTCAGAGTAAACTGAGTTACTGATGCAGTACTTCAGTGTAATGAAAGGAGTAACTCCATCTCAATAGAGGAGTGCCCTTATATTACACACTATACAGTATGTCCAAATCATTGTTCTGGATTATTGATTATTCTGTAGAATATTCCGGACCATAATGAATGGAATGTTTGATTAATTTAAAATTAATCGTGATTTAACTATGAATAATTAATCATGATTCATTATTTAATTTCATTGGGTCATTATAGGTCATTTATACAGTATCTTTAACAGTTTAAAAGTTGTTAGCATTTTTTCCTGCTGCCCTCTGATGGCAGCATTTTAATGTTTTTACAAACTTCGCAGAAGCGAGCACCAGAGTATCTAAACTCTCAAACACTGACACACACAGAGGATTAGTTTTTTACCACACTGGTCCAGGGTATTTCCAGCCAAAGCCTGGTTTATTCCTGACCTTGTTTAAAGAGCAGGGCAGGCACAGGAGTGAAGTCACATTTAAGGAAAAAAGATTAGCATCATGCTGTTAGTCAGAGAGCAGAAACAAATGCGAGTAAAAAAAAAAAAACAAAAAACCAGAATAGAGATTCTCTGGTTTTTTAGACCGTCAAAATAAAAGCCTCCCCACAACAGCAGCAGCAGCAGCAGCACACCAAGCAGAAGATTCGCCAAAGCAAGGACTAAAAGAACTGAGAACTGAAACATCGTCATCGTCGTCGTCGGCAGCAGCTCTGTGTACACACCTTGGCATTAATATAGGGGTCAAAGGGCCCACAGCGTTTGAACTCTTTTTGGTCTACAGAGCTCTGGGAGGGAGAAACAAAAAAAAAAGAAGATTCGCCGATGGTTTTGGTTCAGATGAGAAATGAACAAACAGATGATGATCACAAGTAAAGGAAACTACATGAAATGGGGAGAGAAAAACAATCAAGGTTGAGTTAATACACAATCAAATGTCACGGTCGGACGAGGAGAAACGACACACAACGAGACCACGGTGGTTTTTCTTTTTCTTTTTTTTTTTTTTTTTACTTTGTTTCAATTTGAGGATTATCTGGTTAGAATAAATAACACCATTACTCATGAAGGGTCGTTTCTCCCTGAAGCTGAACAGAACAGGACATGATGCCAGTGAACAGGCCGTCTGTGCAGGAAGCAAAAACAAATTCAATAAAAGCCATGACTTAAAATGGTGACAGGAAAACCAGCGTCGTTCATACTTTCATGGCACCACAGACTGTAACGCACTCTCACAGGTTAAATGTAAATCAAATCATAACTTAAAGTTATTTACTGCTCGACCTATGAAATATTAAATCAAGAAAACACGAAAAACACAAAAACATTTAACTCAAAAAGTCAATTTTTTTAAATCCAATGATTTTTGTTACAGATATAAACTGCAAATTTCTTGAAATATTAAATCAAGAAAACACGACAAAAACATTTAACTCAAAAGGTCATTTTTTTTTTAAATCCAATGATTTTTGTTACAGATACAAACTGCAAATTTCACAATAATTTTTTTTAAATTTATTCATAAAATATATTTATATAGTTTATAAAAAAAATTTAATAAAATCAGTGGCAAAAATTCTTACATCCTCGTGGACCGTCATTTGGCTTTTACTGCTTCATCATCTCGGGGGTTTCAGGGTGGGGCAGGGGCCGGGGGCAATTAACATAATCTCAGGAATAATTAAAAGCCTCGGAATTAAAAAAACTACATGTGTGAACCAGTGTGTCCAACCTAAGGGTCCTGGAGCTTTTTTGAGACAACTATAAACACAGAAGAGGAAGTAGAAAACTTTTGGCAGACCTGCTCGTTAATCTTGGGATGCGACGGTCCCTGGTGCACCAGCAGTTTGACGATATGTTCGTCCCCCTTCCACGCGGCCAGGTGGAGCGGGTAGCAGCCCTTGTTGTCGGCGATGTTGGTGAAGGCCTCGTTACGCAGCAGCACCTCCACCACCTCGCTGCGGGGCAGAAAACAGCGGTAACATTAAGCACGCTAATAAATAGACATGGTAACAGTCAATCAATAGCTGTAGCTGTCCCTGTGGGACAGTCGTCTGTGGGACAGTCGTCTGTGGGACAGAGGGTTCAACAGGAAGGAGCTGCAATACAGACCTGTGGCCATTGAGGGCGGCGTGGTGCAGGGGGGTGTATCCAGTGCTGTCCACACAGTTCACATTAGGGCCTCTCCAGATGCTGGTAAAGATACAGAAGAATGTCGTTACACATGGTCTCACACACACACACACACACACACACACATCAAACAAACGCTGCCTCTCCCTGAGTAAAGTCCCTACCTGTGGGTGTGACCCAGTGTTCTGATCACTATCTCAGACTCCGTCTGCACCAGTGAGACCTTTGGAACGACTTAGCATGGAAGCTAACAACAACAACAAACGCTACAACAGCCGTAGCAGCAGATGCTAATAGCTGAGCTAACTATGACTTGTTTACAGCAACTAAAGCTCATGATTCAGGATCAAGAACTGGAGTAGAATGGACTTTTGTTATGCTACAAAATAAAAGTACAAACAAAGGCCATGGTGAAACAAGAAGAAACTGAGTTAAGGCCTGATTTTCTGACTGAGATTTAGCTTAGCCTAGAATGTTCTAGGGCTAATTTACTGAAGAGAACGACAACATATGGACCAAAAAACAAACTACAGAAAACTTTCATCAATACTTTGACATTTCTGTTTTCTGAGGAACATTTTGTTAACACTTTCAGACAAACAAGTGATGCATTGTGGGTTGTATGTTACAAAGCTACAGAGACTGTTGCGGTCATATTCTCCAGAAATGTCTCTTTACTTTTTTTTTCCTATTTCTTGAATGACAACAGACTGGGCCACTCTGAGGTTGTGTCTGGTCTGCATGTGGCCCTCAAGCCTCTATTTGAATTAACAGAGATTGAGATAAAAATGTTTGAAGATGTAATACTTCTGAGATTGGAATTTTATCTGTGAATTTTCTGGGTTTTTTTCTTTTCATTTTATATCAACTGCACCCACGCAGACCATTTACATTAGAAAAGCCATTAGGGGGCGCTCCCAAATTCAGCAGTCAACACAGCAGGCATTTCACATATGAATTGCAGCCCTCTCCGCCCCCTGCTCTGTTGTTGACAGATCTATTGTTGCCCTTGTGGTCGACCCACTCCACACAACTCTATTTTAAACATCTTAATTCCACAAAAAAAAAAAAAAACAAATCAGTGAAGTTTTTCCCCCAGAGTGATTTAAAAAAATGATTTAAAAAAAAAAAGATAATCTACTATTGTCTTCACCTCACTGCCACTCTCTCCCCCTTGGAACTATTGTCTTTACCTCACTGCCACTCTCTCCCCCTTGGATAGCTCCATGACCCTACTAGAGGGTGCGCCCCCCACTTTGGGCACCATTTACATGCTAAAATCTCCCCATGAATAAAATCCACTGTGCTCATCACCCATTTTCATGATAAGTAGAGTACTAGATACTTGATGAATACTAGTTCCTAATGAGTGGTTTGCTTAGTGCAGTAGTTTTTTTTTTACAGAGAAACAGAAGGAGGACAGTGATGATGAAGAAGAGCTGGTGAAGAGCAAAGAGAGATGGAATGGGTAATTTAAGAGGCTAAGTGATGTCTACGGAGATGGAGTGCCAGCCTGTGGATGTGAGGCTCTCTGGAAGGCCCGAACACATCCTGAATAAATCATGTGACCAGGACATCCCAGCGCTGGTGAACCAAATATCTGAGACCGGAGTCAGTGGGTTTACAGGCCGTTCAACAGAAGCAGAGTCAGACCGAGGAAAAGCCTCTTCCGACACAGAGTATAAAACTACAATCGAAAACACTTTCTGTTCAAACGGCAGGACAGAGTTCTCCCGTCGGCCTCGGTGCAACTTTACAACTTTGCTTCACAAACACTTGGCAGGATCTGTGCCGCAGTAACGACCACTGTAGCCACTTAGATCCATCTCCCTGTAATGGCCTCGACTGCAGCCAGCGGTCACACAGTCGGAGCTGTCTCATTAAGGGAGCGTCTCCAAATGAGTCAGGGACAGAGCAGGGGACACACCGGCATGTACCGCAACTCCTACTGTGAGATCCTACAGTCGGACTGTGGCTGTTGTCATAACAATAAGAGGAAACACTTGAGTGGTAATAAGTGAGGAAAGGGTCACATGGCCCAAAAACCATACCTCGATCATTTCCTATATCATTTCAGAATAGCGTAGCTGTGTTTATATTTTGATAACTTTGACTTATGACATTGTAACAGAGGGACAGCAACTCCATATCTATTACATCACAGGGATTTAAAGCTAATATTTAGATATAAGGCTAACATGTAGCACAAAGTACAATAAAATACATCTAATAAAAAAAAAAATCTAAATTTTCTTCAATCTTCTTCCTTCTATATTGAAGGATCTATTGTTTCGTGAACACAACGATGATCAAATGTTACGGTAAACAAACGTTAGATTTGCTTATTGCATATTATAATACGACCATGTTGCTCAGTGTGGGGGGCGGGGGCCAAGTGAAAGTGTGTGTTTTTGTTTTTATTAAACGGTATATTATTTTAGAGCAATATCAGAATAAAAATATATAGTCTAATTATATATTGATTATAAAAATATATTGTTACTGTATATCGCCCCGCCCTGCTTCATCCTCTTACTACAGATCACAACCAGCCCACATCTGAGCGCTGGGGCTTAGACTGCAGCGGGGGAACGGGCAGACAGTTGATTTGGTTTGGGGGGGGAAGTAGCTGCGGAATTCTGGTTTTAAAAGCTGAGCTAATCCTTAATTTCCCCCGGGGAACACCAGCAGGATAAATCTACAGTTGGACAGAGATTCTGGAGGAGTTGATATTCTGTTGTCGTTGTCGTTGTTGAGTAGAGGGCAATAAAATCCTCTTTTCTTTTATATATTTTCTGAACAGCTTGTTAATGTGGGTGATACATGTTCATGACATTTCAGGGAGAGGATCACCTACAAAATAGAAGAGTGGAGCAGTAATATTTTTTAAATACAATACTGTAGAGCAAAGTGGGAAACATAGGACCACGACCATGATCTACCAACAAAAAAAAGAGAGTAATTTAATCAATTATTTACTGTATTTTTATATGTTATATATGCTATACATACATGTGTTTATATATATATATATATATTAATACTTGTTTTAAAAAATGTCTAATGTTTAAGAAAATGTCGATGCAGTGATGATTTAGATCGACTTGGTCACACACCCACGTTGAAGACTTCTGTAATGGTTAGGAAAAAAACGTCCAGGTGTTTGTTTTTTTATTGTTTTTAAATCCATTGTCAAATAAACAGATTTCACCTCCGGTCCATTAGTGGTGAGACCACAGTGGCTGGAGGATTAGCAGAGCTAAAGGCACTGAGCCCAAGATCCACTGGTGCAAGAGAGGGAAACCACTAGGTGTAATCATTCATGGTACGACTAAATGTCCTGGTGCCAAACTGCCAACTGTAGCATCTGCTCCTCAGCAGGGGGCGACTGAGGTTTCCCTGCCAGAGTCACCCCCCTGCCCCCCAAAACCAGCTGAAGACCAGTCGGTGTCGCTCTGAATCAGTGGGCTAATCATTCACTCACTCCCTGCCACCGTGTCATTCTGGCCGCGAGTACCAGAACTCTGACGAGGCAGTTTACACTCATGGTCAACGACGAGTGGAGCGATGATGACACATCCTCGCTGTGACAGCTGTAGACAGAAGTGTTGCAACATTTAGGGAAATCTGTGTCACAAACGAAATTCTGTGATTAATACAGTAATCTGCAAACGTTTTAGGCAGACAGTGTGTACTATACTATAAAATCTGGGTAGAAATTCGCAAAACTAGCGTCAACCAACGAGTTGGGTACATCTGGAAGATTGCCCAGTAAAACCATATAAAAAACTATGTGTAAAAATACAATCTGAAGGCTGCCACAGTCGCAGCCCGTTTTTCTTTGTGCTTAGTCACTGTAAGGCTAATCCAGCCCACGGTGCGCCACGTCAAGGCTTCACCGAAACAGCAAAGTTGACTGTTTTTTAAGCGTGTCCTCACTTAACAGTTTCCTGTGTGCACATACCGCAGCGCCATTATCCGAGTGCAACGTGTTTGATGTCTGGAGGTGGGCTGTGGCCCAGCAGGTGGGCTGCAGAGAGCAACACAGTGAAACAGAGAGGGGTAGACCCCAGATAGACCACACCACCTGGGCCAGAGGTTGGCATGGTCTCAGACACAGACGGCTAATTTTTATTTAATGACTTAATTGTACCGTCCTTATCATGTCAGTTTGTCAGTGCCTGGGGTTAAACAGAGGTCATGAAAAGGACATTCTCCGTGTCTGTCACTGCAGGGCTGTCCTGTTCATGCCTGTCAGCAATTTTCAGTTTCTGTGTAGTTGAAGGAAGCACAGAAAGAAAACTGTAAGGAAGGGGAAAAAAGGAGAAGTGCTAAAAATAGGGGCTCTTGTCATTCACTGTCACTTGCTATAAATGGGTCCATTAACACAATGTGTCAGGAATTCTTCTGGTTGGTTGGGAATGTTCCAGAATATATCTTTAAATTTGAACAAGTCAACTTTTTCGTACGCTGCCAATTTACTAGGAATCCTTCGATCTACTTGAATGACACTATATTTGGCGTATTGCCATTGGAAAAAAAATTGGCAACATAATAAAATATACTCTATATACTCTATACTCAGGGGTCTCCAACCTTTCTGCCTTGTGCCAAATTAGGCCTGACACTGAAGCACAAGACCAGTTTTATAAGAAGAGAACAGATATTAATGGGCCGTAGATCATACACTGCACTACTTTCATTTGAAATAGTCAAAATGTTTTTGCAGCTCTCAGTCAATTATATTATATTATATTATATATAAAAATAACTCATTCGCTAATTACTTTGGTATGATAAAAATAATACAGATGTTGATATGATTAATCAGTGAAAAAAAAGTGTGATTTGTGTCGTGATAAAGTGATAAAGAAAATTGATTTACAAATGTCCGACTTTATCTGACTCCACCATTAGAGGGCAGAGGTTCAACACACCTAGCCTTGAACCAGTCCTGGACCATGGGTTTTGCGGCACTGATCAAGTACATGAGTACTGTAATATTGTAATACTGTAACATATTCCATATAAAATAAGGACAGACACATGTGGAACTCATCTCTGCGTCTGGGTTGTGCTTTCTTAGGCTACACAAACACCGGCCCTAAACGTAAAGTGCACAGCAGAGAATCACAAACTCACATGTAGTAAGGAATGCTAACAGAACGGTGTTAGATTTCGCAGCTCCCACCGCTCCCTCCTGGGTTGAACTGGCCTCAGTTTCTCTCAGGTCAAAGGTCAACAACTGATGAAATGAAATGTGAAAACCAGCCTCTGTTGCGTGCTAGCTGTTAGCTACCTGCTCACAATGCGAGGGCCCTTCCCGTTGTGCTAACAGCTAAGAGCAGGCCTTGTTAACACCGTAGCTACACATGCAACGGGCAGTGAGAACGGCTTCATCGACTGTAACAGCTTAGTGTGAAACACAACTGAGAACCATGGGAGTTAAATTCCCACTGTGAACTTGTCATCTGCAAAACAGCAGTGCTGCAGTGGATCTTCACACCACCACACAAACACAGATATGATTAGCAGAGAAGCTAAAAGTGTTTTATTCCAAGTATTGGAGGTTGTTATAAATAAGAGTTGTATTTTCAGGTACTATCAATCTAACACTACAGGTTTGCCCGACATGAATGAAGAATACAAATGGACCGCGATTGAATGAGCTGGAATTCTGCCCGAGCCACTTGAAATGCAAAACATCATCACAGTGACAGAACCTCATTTAGGAAAAGGAAAAACATTACGCCGGAACTATTTTTCAAAAGCCACTAAAGGATTGAAAAAGCTCTACTTGTATCAGCCTTCAGAGGCAGCAGACAGTAGAATGAATGGGGCTTCTCAAAACAGAGGGTTCGATTCTATGCAGATGACAGCTCAATTTTCTGTGTAGAACTAAAAAGTTTATTTAAATTTAGGAACTCATATGAATATGAAAAGACCATCATTCCACAGCATGTCAGTGGGACAAAAGACACCGCGGTGAAGCTGGGAGACAAGCCCTCATCTGGCTGAACTCTCAGAGTGTGTGTCCAAAAGCTCATGAATTCCTCTGTTAATTTCCCCTCAGTGGGCCGCACTCTCCGCTCCAGCGACGTGTCCTACCTCTAGTAGCTGTGTGTGTTTGGATGTATTCTGGGTAAGGAAGTGCTGGTTAAGAGCTGTAGACCTCTGAAATCCACTACAGACCACAAGGGTCTGGCAACCCTGATAATACCGAGGCACACACTGCAAATGTGTGCACTTAAGTCGGCCACAAAATACATGAGTCACTGCAAAACAAAATACTGTCAAAGTTATTTCAGCAGCAGCAGCAGCAGCCACACTGCAGTGCTGTAGAGGTCACGCTGTGACTTGGGGGAGACCCTGCCCTGATCGTTTCGGTGTTAACGGACCACCAGAGAACAAATGTTTTGGGTGGCGTCAGCGTTAAACATGCAGGGGTCAACGACGATCCCGAGGCAGCCGCTGGGACGCAGCCTCCTGGGAAAGCAGGCATTCCAGAGAACAGGGCTCTACAGCTGCCTGGTTACAAAAACACCACAGGTCCTGACATGCAGCCCATTCCAGGAACACCAAAATGAAGCACAGCACACCTTTAAAGCCCAGCACTGCGCTGGTGAAGGTTGAACCTTCACATCCTGTGGTAGCGTTTTTTTAAAGGCCTCACATTCAACGAAGTCTGCTTAAAGGCTAACAGCCGAGTGGGATACAGTTAAAATGAAAGATATAAAAACCCACAGTCCTGTCTACTAGTTGTCCACACAGGCAGCACAGATATTACACTAAAGAGTTCCGTCCTCCCTTCAGATCAAATCGGTCAGAATCAAGAGATTCAGCTTCCAAACAATGAACTATTAATGAAGTACAAAGAGATTTTAGTGATAAAAAAAAAAAGCTACCGTCACCACAGTGGCCACGTCCTCTTATGGTAATCAGCTTTGAACTGTTTTTCCTGTAAACAACACAACATGAATACCCATGAACACAGTGAGTTGGCCATGTAGACTTCCCTTTTGTTGGTTGTACCTCCGTCCACCACTGTTTATTTTAACAGACAATTTGATTTAGTCTTAGACTTTGGACTTAATTATAACTAAGTCTTAGACACAGTTTAGTCAAGAGAACTGTTACTTAATTTGAATATTGTTTTATTCGATGAACTCTATTTTAGTCGACTACATATGAATTAGATATAGCTAAATAACTATCTTATGAATCTTAAAACTCCATTTTAGTCGACTATATATGAATTAGATATAGCTAAATAACTAAAGTGCAATATGTATTATATATAGACATAAATGTATATATATATTTATATATATAAATATATACACATAGATTTATATAAATATATGTACATACATATATAAATGTATATATATATTTATATATATTAATATGGTTCAGTCAGTGTCTATCCAGATTTGATTTTCTTTTTTATTGGTTGACAAATGCATCAAATCATTTTGTGGACAGGTCACTTCCTTTGCGCTCGAATTTGAACACACGGTTTACTTGCTTTTACTTCTCTCTCGAGATCTGGCAACACTTCGTAACACATGTATTGACGTTCCCATAATGCAAACCAAATCAAACGTATACAATAACAGCCCCCCCCCTCCTCCTCCTCCAGAGACCCTGCGGTCTATTATCATGTACCCTACATTATTATGACACTGGGTTCTGTTGGCTCAGGTGTCCAGGAGCAACAAGGCCTTTCGACCTCCACCTACCATTAGTTAATTCACTTCCTGGACAATAATTTCTCACTGCCGTCATTGCCAAACATTGATTGCCTAAGTCAGAGCGGTGACACAACGGGCTTCTCAGTCCAACCAGGCTGAATCTGTGAGTGAACATTACTGAATTAGATTTTGGATTTCTGACAATAATGGTTTAATTTAATTAGCTTGAGTTCATTGCGCAGGTTGCTCTGAGTAACGTGGTGATGCATCACCTCAAGCTTCGCCTCAACTCTTTATCCCGAGGAGGATGGAGGCCTGATGGAACTCCCACAGCAGCCATAAAGTGTGTGATTGATAGACGTCCACCAACACAGGCTCAGTAATTAGAGAGATAAGGTTTGAACGCACACAACACCGGGACCACAACTTCATCAGCTATTGTTTACTTCATAGCTCCATGGATCGCCTGACATCAGCAGGCTTTATTTTGTTCTTTTGATGACGATGCAGTTGTTCTTTGATTTCAACATATAGCACAAAGGCTGCCAGTAATTATGGGTGTGTAATTAAAGTAAATCATACAGAGTTGGAACAATGTGATTCCACCCCAGACCAGTCTGTTGTGGTGAGTCTCTATGTCAGATAACATCTGTAGGACTGGAATGAACCTCATCAGGTCTGTCGCAGCTGATTGTTTATACGACTTCAGAAAGTCACTTCTGTCTTGTTTTTTTTAAACATACGTAATCACTTTGTAAAGATACCAAACCTCAAAAGGGTTTATGATATTTTTTATGATTTTAAAATAGCAGTGTGTGCAGAAAACTCTGGTAATTTCTGTTGCTATTTCTTTTAAAAGCTTAGCCATGTGAAAAACCAATAAGGCTGTCCACGGAGCATTTTATTTGTTTTCACAAAATCATATTTTCAGAGACCCAACTGTGGTTCTTTAACATCAAACATCTGAAGCAAGTTTCAATATGTACCAAACTTGGACACTCTTAATTTCAGAAGTGTAAAACATAAGGCTCACGTGCAAAATCTTAGCCATCAGAGGGAAAACTTCAAAGAGTAAGAATGAACGATTTAATGTTAAAGACGTTTTATAGGGGTTAGCGCAGTTGCCTTAGGATAAGATGGTTCATTTCTTGAGACTTTTTGCATGGTGTAAAAAACAAAAGTGAGTGTGAATGGTTGTTTGTCTTCATACATGGCCCTGAAATGGACTGTCTCGGGTACAAATCCAACCTTGCCTGATCGGAGCTGGGATTGGCTCCAATAAGAACAAATAGCAGATACTGTACATTAAACCTAATACACTGATGAATCATGTATGAGTCTGTAGGACTGATTTCCACAAAATCACACTTTGACTAAATCACTGATGACATCATTCTGTGACGTAAACAAACCGGGTTTTTTTGGCCCTGTCTGGTAAGAATGGATTTTTCACATGAATACAGTGAAGATATCTTAAGTCCGGCTCTGACACCTGGCTTTCTGCTCTCTCTGCATTCACCACTGTGTGTTCAGGTCTAGACTCTTTTAGGGGCCATTAATAAAACATGTCCGCCGGAGTGTAAAGAAATCTCGGACTGCTTTGTTGCACATTTCTTCGGTTTACTTGCACAATAGCCTTTCTGGGCTCTTTCTGCTCATTACAGTAAAGCTGGCAGAGCTAACAAAGAAGCATGTTCCTGCAGCTGTGCCGCTGCCGCTACACTGGCTCAGCCTGTTTGTGCGAATGCAAAGTCATTACACTGGAATGAGAGACTATTTAAAAAAAATTATGACACAAGAGAGCAACAATGGTGGATAAATAAGAGATGAAACAACAATTAAAGCAGCGTTTGTTCAGGTATGCCCTCTTCTCCTTCCTGATCCTACCTGAGAAGACTGGAGAGCGGATGAGAGGAGGCGCCGTGGCCGCCGCTGTTGCCACTTCCAATGGCTCCGGACAACCCGCTGCCGGCGCCCGCAGACTGTCGCTTCCCGGATAAAAGCTTCTCCACGGCGGCCAGGTTCCCCGTGCGCGCAGCTTCGAGGAGCTCCTGCTCCTTCCCCATCGCGAATCCCAGGGAAAAAACACTCAGGAGACGCGGGGAAGAGAAGGAAGAGGGGAGGGGATGGGGTCGGTTGTGGGAATGAAAATCCTCTCCGGTTTCTCTTTTTTCCCCACTTAATCCTAATTTATTCCACACAGTACTTCCCACGGCTGGATCCTTCCTCCCCGATTCCCAGTACCGCTGGCGCTTACAACGGGGAAAACTTTGTCCCAGCAGAGCGGCTCCAGCACCGAGCAAACTTCCTCTGTCCAGTCCCCCGAGCCTCGTCCGTCACTTCCTTGAAACTGTCCTCTCTTTCTGCAGCGAAAATCTGAAAACCTTCTCTTTCACCACACACGCGCGCGCGCAAACATACACGCTCTCTCACACACACACGCCCTCCCCGAACGAGGATAGGTGTGTGTGTACAAGCCTGAGTCAGAGTGTGTTACAGAAGTAACACGGAGAGGCAGATGTTACTGTCCTTCCAAAAATCACTCAACCGTGTCCTGGGTTATTTTTTTCTTGATTCTCTGTAGTTCAACCAGCCGGCGTTTAAAAAAATATCTGCCGCTAAACAGCAAACGTTACGGTAAATTCGCTGTGACAAAGCGCGCTGACGTGCAGGGTTGCTAAGTCTGTTTTTCAAAATAAAGTTCACATCGGCAACAGAATTGGTTTGTTTTATAGTTTGACCTTATGCCTATATATACACTGTACATTTAATTTATGTTACCATTTTTATTTCTTCCTTATATCTCTGTGAAATCCTGAAATCGTATTAATGACTAATGCATTGATATCACTACTCGGTGATTGAAAATATTCAAATGATTCATTTCAAGGGACCTTAGGAAACAATATTCACTCCTTTTACAAACATAAAGCCTCACAAGATTATTATTTTGTTTTTGTTTTGATCTAATTCTGTTACTCAGCTAAAACATCTTCCACAAAAATGTTCTGTGAAATTGCACGGTTGGAGATTTGTTTTGAAAACCAGATGTTGTAACCCTGGGTTTCGCCAAGCGTGCCAACGCTTTCACCGTAAAGCCGATAATAAAGGCGCATTTCAAGTCAAGGGTCGTCTATTTAAACTCGTATATGCGTTAGATGTTTCCACCTCTTTATCTCATAAAAACCTTTAATTTTACAAAAACAAAAAAGTATAGTACTCAGGAAGAATATCCTATTGCATTGTATGTTGTCAACGAATGAAAGAGTTGTAACAAAACAAAAAAATCAAAACATATTCGTTTTTTAAAAAAAAACAACTTACTTATATGACATCACACAGGTAAATAAATGTTGGCAACAATGAGAACCTTCCTACAAAGATGTCTGCTGGTGCTCCAAACACAGTTAGTCCCTTGGTATAAAATGTAATAAACCAAGAAGTGCAGAAAAAAACATTTAAGTAAAAGTTGTATGTAGATTATGACCCCTTGTTTAAGTGTGAGCTTCAAGTTATGTTCTTCCCAGTTTATTTGCATCGTACTTGTATAAACCGGAACCGGAAATCCACGCTCGGCGTTACCCGACTGTTAGCATTTTTGGTATTATGCATTCAAGACAGGCTAAGCTCGTTTATCTCAAGTAGATTACTAGTCGTTATTTGTTTACAATACGTATAATTTCATGCGAAGGGTTTCATATCGCGCTGCATCAAAGATTTACAGGTAATACTAGTAACATTTTGTTTGAGCCTACGTTAGCTTAGCTTTCGCTTTGTCGAGGCAGTGCTACAGGTACGTAAATATCTCTTATTTTTACATTATTTTTGTACTACTCTTCAGTACATTACACAGTAAATAGCTGTTCAAATATGTTTTATCAAATGTTGTTCCTTAAAATATTATTTTTCGTTGGCGTGAACTGAGTTACCATGGCAGACCCTGCTCGAATTAAAACTGATGACACTTGTGAGAAAACAACCACAGCCACGGAGGAGCCCAAGCCAGAAGAAACAGATGATGTTTCTGCCACAGCAAAGCCCACACAAGAAAACAAAGAAGCGCCTTCTCAGGACCAGCCCAGACAGGATGTTAAACCCGTGAGTTTGGTTTACAGGAATACATTTTTAAAAAAATAATAGACCACCACCACTCGGTGGCTTTGGAATTGTTTTGTATTTCAAACCTGTGTCACTTTGACGCTTTGCTACCACAGTGGGAAAAAACTTAATGGTAGAAAATAAGAATTACCTGAAAACATATGACTGTGGTTTATTTTATTTATTGTTTTGTGGTTAAATAAGCAGACTTTGTATTTTTATAACCTGTAAAACAATAACATTGTATATTTTATAACCTGTAAAACAATAACATTGCTAAGTGATTGTTTTTCACTACAGACAAAAGCTATTTTGTGAAACATGGCAGGTATTAAGTATTTAAATTTGGTATATTAATATTGCAATTTTATTTGTCACAATAGCTAATTATGGACAGGCCAAAAATACTTTTGTTGGCAGAAATGGCAAAAAAAAAAACAACTCATAGTGGTTACTATAAAAAATGTTTTATCAAACAGGAAACAGCTGCTCATGAGGATGAGGAGGAAGGAACATCAGGCCAGTCTGCTTGCAAGAGGCTGAAGGTGGAACCAGAGAAGAAGAAAGAGAAACGACAAAAGGTTGATGAGGACGAAATTCAAAAAATGCAGTAAGATTTATTTAAAAGAACCAAATACATTTTTTAAAAATAATTCCACCAAGTCTCTATTCACCATCATCTTCTCTTTTTTTTCTTTAAGAGTTCTCGTGTCGTCTTTTTCTGAGGAGCAGCTAAATCGTTACGAGATGTACCGGCGTTCTGCTTTCCCTAAAGCTGCTATCAAAAGGGTAAGCTGTTGGCAGATTTTGAATAAAGTGTGACTAAAATGTTGCATTCTTGGAACATTCATTTGATGTAATACCCATTCCAGTTGATCCAGTCCATTACGGGATCATCAGTTTCTCAGAACGTCGTCATTGCCATGTCGGGTATCTCCAAAGTTTTTGCTGGGGAAATCGTAGAGGAAGGTGAGTATAGCTGGTGAATACACGGTGAGGGCGAGTTATTTACCAGTCAGGTTCTTTTGTAATTGACTCAATTTTGTTTGTCAATCCATTTACAGCATTGGATGTTTGTGAAAAGTGGGGCGACACACCACCTCTCCAGCCCAAACACATGAGAGAAGCAGTGAGGAGGCTGAAGAGTCGAGATCAGATCCCCAACACAAAGTACAAGAACATTCTTTTTCACTGACGAGGATGATGGAGTGGGATGTGGTCAGGAAACCACAATGACCAACCTGGGACTGTCTTGAATTCAACCACCTGAAAATGTTCACCAACAGGAAACAGATCTGCTGGACATCCACAGATGACATGAAGTATCCAGGTGCTTCTCAGTGGTTTAGGAATTCGTGGACTGATGTTTTTCTTTTGTTATTTAGCCATAGATATTTAATAAGTAGTTCATTTTGTAAATTGTGTTTAGTATCCAAAATTATGTTTATAAAAATAAAACTCCAAAAACACCTGTTGACATAAATGGATGAGTTTAAGTGATTAGAAGTTGATTCAAAAATCTAATGAAACACCAGGGGGCGATATATGCCCACCAGACAAAGTCAGAAAATCAATAACATCATTAAGAAACAAAGCTCTTTACAACATTAAAAACATTTTTTTGGTTGTTTAATTTTCAAAGACTCACCAGGAAGTGTTCTGCAACTCATGGTTTATTCTTTTACATTTTAAAATATTCTCCATGTTAGCGTTTGGTTCACAGAACCAGTTCAAATGTTAGTCTTAATGAAGTGGTAAAGACGATACAAAATTCCATGTAGTTCTACAGGATTAACAAAAATAACAAAAAAAAAACAGTCCACATACACTGCCACATCTGCACCACGGGGGAAAAGTGTCAGTCAGAAAGATTCCTGTCATCCTTCACATCAAAATGAGTGCAAGGTCCAGTGAATTTACCACAGGAGTGAAAGTAATCCACAAGGCATACAGTATAACAACACAACACCGAATCATGGCATGCATGTAGAGAAAGAGACAGAGAGAGACAGCGCACCCTGCAGGTCTGTGTCTTGCTCTGCTCTCTGTGCCGCTCCCTTTTTTTTCCATGGCACACTGAGCAAAGATAGTCAGGAAACTCCTACCTGTCTGAATGTCACTGATGTCAGACCAGCAGCATGTCAAAGGTCAGGGATGCTACGTACCACTGAGGTCTGACCCATAAACAGGACACTGGTCAAACTGAACAGCCACATCTCACCAACCTTCACATCTGTATTCACTGAGGTCATGCAAACAGAAAAAAAAAAAACAGCAAAAGCTGTACGGGTGATTACTGTACAAGTACCTGCTGAAAAGGCAGTATTTCTACCTGGTTACACTGACCAATGAGGATTGGAGGAGCCATCATGCACCACAAAGACAAATAATTCAGTGTCTTTAAAATGAGTAACTCTTGAGTTAAAGCAAAGTGGTATTCCTATTGCTTACATACTATTTTACATTCCTCGTACAGAATGGAAATGTCACGTGTTTGCAAAGCAACTAAAACTACAACTAAAAAACGTCAGTTGTGGCGGCCCGCAGCCACCAGAGGTCTCTCAAGCTCACAATGAGGTGGCATTGATGTAAGGATAATGGATACATAAAGCTTTGAAACCAGAAACGAAAGTAAATGTCAGTTCAGTCAGGTTTGCATAAATATATCCATCAGTGATAAAAATGATTAAACCACAAGTTAAAAAAAAACTGTTGCATAAAACCAGACAAAGAAAAAAAAACTATTTTAGTAGAATGAATGTGAATGTGGTTTTAAACAGCAGTCTGAGTGTGTGTGTTTGTGTGTGTGTGTGTTAGCAGTACCGTAGCTTTTCAAAAAGAATCTTGATTAGTTCAGATATGGCTTAAAATGTGTCGACAAATAAAAAGACGTTCAGCGTGTTTGCTTATTTCACACAGATCAACTACACTAGCAGCAGAGTCCGACAAGCTACCAAAAAAAAAAAAAAAATTCAAAGATCAAGTACTGTGAATGATTATACAATTTTGCTTCAAAATAATAAATAATAATTATCCTGCTACTGTGTTTTTCCTTCATGAACACTGAGGGCGTGGAGAACAACAGTCCCGTTCCCCTCGACAGTACAAAAGAACCTTTGACTAAAACATAACATCTAACACTGTGATGAAGAGGGATAAAAAAAACTGACATTATTATTTTTCTTACAAAGTGCATCAGCTTCCTAACATTTAAATTACATTATATATATTTTTTCCCTATAGTGATACTGTTAAGTAACAAAACACACAGCGACTATTATTCACTAAAATAGAAGAACTCTACATCATTAGGTTTGGTCAAAGTTACGTGTTGAAATGTGCCGTGTGTGAATCAGTACAGTTCACGGCGCATGCTTTATACAGGAGTACTGTGTTCAACAGAAGCAGCTGATGGAGTAGCAGCTGCCCGGCAGTGTGTGTGTGTCTGTGTGTGTGTGAGTGAGTGTTTTTGGCAGTTGAACAATCATCTTCATTAACATTTTAAAATAACCTGTAGAGCAGTGGTTTTGTGTGTGGGGCGTGGGCCTCTCCTGGGGTGTGTCAGCGTTGCCACATTTCCTGTCCCCCACTCACTCTCTCGATGGTATCTGAGTGTATTTTCTATTCATAGTTTACTTTTGTTTTTGACTGCGTCCCCGTACCTCGCCCACAGAACTGTGACGTGTCTCAGTTCGGGCGCATAAAAGTCGAATGATTGTCCAAAATTATCCTCTGTCAAAAGGTCATTTTGAAATCCTTTGAATTTGACTCTAATTTAGATCTCATCTAATCAGATAAAGGTTTTTAACCCCTCAGTGGTTTGTGTAAGTGCGGGTCAGGAATGGAAGCCCACAGGTGTTGGACTTTGAAAACCTCTGCTGTAGAGAATTCTCACCTGATCATCGTTCTCCTTCTAACATGCACGACAAACACCGAAAACCACACAACAAGTTAACTGTCAACACTGAATTACATAAGAACCAGAGGAATTGTTGCATTTTGTTACTAAACAAGTGTAGAATACTGATATTGTCCAGTTAAAAAGTAGTACCAATAACGTAGCGGTCAGTTAGTGAACGGGCAGATTCCCCTTCGACCAACCGTTCCCTGTATCGACCCCACAGTTTTTTGTTTTTCAAACCTGGACTGTGTCCAGTGATGGTCGTTTCCTCACATTTATACCGACACAGCTGACCACCAACCGCAGCAGCTCAGAGTGTAAACATGGGGTCGTACTTCCTGATTTGCAGCAGAAGGCGCTCTCTGTCACTGAGGGCCTGTGTCAGCGCAGCCTGGGCCTCAGAGAGCCGTGACTCCAGAGCTTGTTTCTGTAATAAAGCACAGCAGTATTACTGCAGTAAGTACCTGGTATTTGATGTCGACACTCAGCTGACAGGTGTTTTAATAATAATTAAAATATAAATTGAATATATATATAATTATAATTATAAAGAAACTTTTAGCTAAGTTTCTATTTGCTTTTTTTAAAATTTAATTTAATTTACATTTTGGTGCAGCTGTAGGACTCCCACCTGCCACCAGAGGGCTTCACCTCTGATACCACCTTGTCCCCAAATCCCAGGTTAGCTTGTGTCCTGAGGGGCATCTGGTATAATTATTTTTTTTTTAAGGCATGCATGTGTGTACCCACTCCAGCAGATGGCGCTGGGACAATCAGTTATGAAGCCTCTGCTGAGCCAGCTCTGCTAACCAGTACTAGAACAAGCTATTTTTGCATCCACAAACTCTGACCAACTAACATCACATGAATGTAGATGGAGATTTCTCAGGTTACCGTGTTGTTGTTTACGATATCTGTAGAGTCAGAAAAAAAAATCTTTGACCTTAAAAAAAGAAACAACATCAGTGTCAAACACCGTAGACGTGATCTGAGGTCATGTGGTCAGATGTGTAGAGTTTCACTAAATGCTATCTGTGAGCAAACAGCTGAAATGTCAGTAGGACCTCAGAAACCGCAACCATGAGAACTGGGTTTGAAAACAGTCCAGGGTTAAAGGAGTCTTAGGTTAGTGTTCAGGACGGACTTTAAACTTAAGTTTAAGCTGAGCTAGAGCTGCAACGATCTCAAACGGAAATATTAGTCTAGCAATAGATTAGAAAACCTAACAAAATAAATCAACACGTAACAAAGTCACCTTCAGGTTGACTGTGTCTCAGGTGGAGACAGAGCCTAAATTGCAAGTGAATCAAACTCTAAAAGTGGGCCGTGGGCCACAAACCACACACATGCAGCCCATACCTGGATGTCAGTATAATGTAACCTGAAGGTTTCAGGTTTTTGGCCCAGGGAACCCCCGATCATTTCACTTTGAGACCCCCTGTTCATGACTAATGACTACAACTAGTCTAACGGTCAGATGATGACATCATCAGTACCGCACCCCCAAAGGTCAAATGAGTTTTTCTGGTTACCTTGATGTCCGGTTGAACTGTGCAGGAACTGTTGTTGTCAGAGGCCCCCACAGCAGCACCTGTATCAGAGGAAATGGTTGTAGAGTTGGACACATTCTTTTAAGCGTCAGCACTTTATTTATTTTTTTATTTTCCACGTCCACCTTTAAGCCTCATGATGCCGTCCTCACTGCGCTCCAGAAGAAGCTGTTCCACCACGAATGTGCTGGGGACAGGCTGGGGGGATGTGGGGTAGTTTCTAGGACCATCGTCCTAAAAAGAACACAAAAGTTATACGTGTCATCATGTCCTCCTTTATGACCTTTAGTCTTCTGGGGTCAAAACTGATTCCACCTCAGTTCTGGAGTGTTCAACCCGTGGCTCCTGAGGCACATTTGGCTCCTCATATAGGGGTCAAAATGACCCTTAAGGGTTAAACTAAACCAGACTGTATATTAAAAAATATTGATTCAGCTGAACTACTTCAAACACCGACCTTCATTGTGATGGTGACGTTGTTCAAGTGTAACTTCATGGGTTGACCGTCAACACTGAATTCGTCTTCAAGAAACGGCCCGATGTTAGCCACTGTGGAGGCTAACATCTCCGCCTGACAATCCTGCACCCTGACATCCAGGAAGCCCAAAGACTCAGCAAGAGGAGAGTGACGGGACGCTGAAGGACCCGTCTCTGCACGCAGGCGCAAAACCGGTCTGCCCTTGCTCCGGAGCCGGTCCTGCTTCTGGACTGGAGCTACGAGGAAAATGGATAAAACCACATTTATAAAACGTTAGTAGTGAGCGTGATGCAGGGGGTTTTTTTTGTTTCACTTTTCAAATGCTACTCCTTCAGTTTAACCGCTAACATGAGTTCTAAAATATTTCACTTCACCTTGTACGACACCAGCCAGAACCTCCGACACCTTGACAGTTCCCAGCTGCACGGGCGACAGATTCTGAGCTTCTACAGCCACGACCTGGTCGTCTCCCTTCACTTCCATAGTGCAGGCCATTCCAGTTACAAACAGTAACAAAACTGAAGACTGAAATTAAATGAGCAAAAAAATAAAAATGAAACATTTTCACAATGCTGTATTTCTTTTTCTTGTTCCTCCAGGCCTAATCCCCCACAGATTGTTAATATAATCCCAGTAACCCACCAGGTCCTGGGACACGTCCTCTATACTCTGGGAGAGGGAGCTGCTGAGGTCCGCTGATGAACCCCTCTCTGTGCCGGGGGCGGGACTTCCTCGGCTTCCTGCTGTAATTGGTTTAGGATGCATGGATTCCATCCCTGACTCTGGAAACATGATGTAAACTACAGTAGATAAGTGGGAACATAGAACTGTAGTCACCACGGCTAGGCTAGGCTAGGCTAGGCTAGGCTAGGCTAGGCTGACCAGTGGCAGCACCAGAGATTTTATTTTTGCTGGTTCTATACTTAGTGCCATTAGCTACAACAGTCCTGATACAGACACCAGAGCTAATGTTAGCTACAACAAATGATGGACCAAAAAGTATTTTTTATGCTTGTAGTAATGTAGTTGACAGATTGTGCTAATATGCTAATGCTAATATAAATAAATATATTTATTCTAATTCAGATTCTAATAAAAACATCGGTCAATTACCTGAGTCCATAAGAACAACAAAATTGTCACTGGCATCACTGTCCACAGACAGATTCTCATCAGGTAAGCTGCCCTCCAGGATGGCACTGTCAAAGGAATGCTGGGAAGATGAGTGTTTCATGGACTGGTGTCGATGACCGGCGCCACTCGGTGGTGGGGGTTCTTCTGAGCGCTGCACTTGTTCCCTATGAAAATACACACAGACAGTCATGAAGAAGACAAATGTAGGTTTCAGGCAGACAAATCTATATATATTTTTGGAGAACATTACTCACTTTAACTGTGGACTAAACAATTTGCTCATCCCAGAGCCACGACTCAGGATGCTGAACGCGTCCTTCGTGATTGAAAATGCCCCTTTGGTCAGGTCCAGTGAGGCACTAATGGCGTCTTTGGTCACATCCTTGGTTACGTTGATGGCGCTCGACAGCTCTCCCTCCAGGCTAAACGTGGACAGCTCCCGGGAGAGGACGGGGGAGTGTCCAGGTGTCAGCGGTGGTGAGAGGACAGCGG